GTGCGGAGGGAGCTGTGACATTGCGGGGAGGGGGTTCTCATGGCAGTCGGGTGGAGGGTATCTGGGGAGGGGGCCTGGGCGAGTGGCTGGAGAGGCGGAGAGGGGGCTGGGGGCTTTGTGGGGTGCACATGGGAGCTGGGCCCCGCTCTGAGTCACTCCTGCTGGGTGCTCAGCCCATGCCTGCTTCAAACTGGGACTTTCTTCCCAGTGCTTCTGACTGCGGCCTCTTCCCTATGGGGGACAATGGGCAAGAGCCCCCAGCCCCACTCCCCAGGGGGCTTGGCTGTGGACCACCCCAGCAGGTTCCTGGCTCAGGGTGACATGGGGCATCCTGGCCGGGATGGGTGCTGCCAGGGTCAGTGCTATCCCCCATGCCATGCTGAGGGGCTGGATGAGGGCCCCCCATGAGCAACTGCTGGCGGTGGCCCCCTCCCCTGCGCTGCCTGGAGCAGTGGGGAAGCACAGCTGGGACACGGGGGGCTTCTCTGCCTGGCCCCATCCTGCAAAGCACCCCGCGGGAGCAATGCTGGCAGGACATGGCTTGGACCCCAATGGGGTCTGATTTCCCCCTCCCGGTGCTACTCCTGCCCCTTGTTGCTGCAGGAGTGGGGCTGGAATCCCCCACGCAGGAGGACCCTGCGGCGCTGGAGGAAGTGTGAGTACCCTGTATTCCCCCTGGGGGGTCCCCCCCTCACCCTCCCATGGGCAGTGGGGGACTGCCTGCAGTGCCCCCTCTCAGCTTGTGCTTCCAGCTGTGGCCCCCGCAATTTAATTTTTGGGGAGGGGTGAGAAACCACCCTGCACTGGGGAGAAGTGGGGATGTTGGTGCTGGTGCTTGGCATGGTCCCCGTGAGGGCGGGGGGGTCTGGCAGCGGGGTGCAGGCAGGAAGCCCGCACGGTGCTGCTGTGCCACGGTTGGGCCAAATCCTCTTCCGGGCTGCGCTGGCGGGGCTGACTGGCTGCCGGCTCGCTGCCTTGCCATGCAGTGGGGCAACGGTGCTGAGCACCCCCTGCCTCCCTGGGGAGCCTTGGGGTGCTGTTGCAGCAGCCCATGGAGGAGGGTGCAGGGTTCAGCTGAGAGCAAAGCTCTGCAGCGTGGCCCTGTGCAGAGGTGAGGGGCTCTGCCTGCCCCCCTGCCACTGGATTATGGCACCCGAGCCCCCACTATGCTGGTGCCGTGTCAGTGGCGTTGCCCACCCCCATACCCAGCCCTGGCCATTGGCTGAGCCTGGCCCCACCAGATGTGCTGGGTGAATGAGTAACTGGGGGCAGATGGTGGGGCTGGGGCAGCCAGATGTGCGTGGAATGTGCCAGTCCCCGTCCCGCCATGGCGTGCTGCCGGTGTGGCCATATGGAAGTCCCAGCTCCCCCGCCGTGGGCAGATTTACATACAGGCGGAGAGCGGGTGATGCTGTTGCTGGCTTTGTCTGGGTGCAGAGTGAGGTCAGCCGGGTGCCCCAGACCACCCCGGTGTGCTGCCCACCCCCCAGCCCTGGACTGGGGTCCCCAGCCTAAAACCAGCAGTGTCCAGATGGGGCTTGAACCCGTTGTGGGGCTCAAAGCCCTGGTTGCTTCGGTGCTCCTACCTCAGGGGGCTGCTGGCCCCTGCGTGGGGTGGGGGCACTGTAAGGGCTGGGGCTGCCCATCCCCAGGGCTCCTGGGCAGCCAGGGCTGGGGTGCAGGGCTCGATCGCCCCTAACCCTGGCTCACCTCTCTCTGCAGCTTCGAGAAAGTGATCCTGGAGTCTGGGAGAGCTCCCAAAGAGTAAGTGAACGGGCTTCTGTCCCTGCGCCCCTCCCACAGTCCAGATCAGGCCATCAGTGTTGCTTTGTGCCTGGAGGAGCTGCTTCCCCAGGGTCCTTTGGGGGCTGCGACAGCTCCAGGGAGGTCTCACCCCAGTGTGAGGGGACTGGGGGGGCTGTGCCAGCCCCCATGGGATGCCATTGGGCCAGGGGCAGCCTCTCTCATTCAATCCTTTCCCTGCTTCTTGCAGCAATAAGCTCCTTGCCCAGAGGATCCACTCGCTGTCGGTAAGTCCCAGGGGCTCCGCAGGGCTGAGTGGAGGGAGGCTGCATCCTGCTGAGCTGGGAGGAGGAGGATGGAGGTCAGGAGGGCAGGGGCTGTGCAGCACCGCTCACTTCATGGCCTGCCCTGCAGACCCTGGGTGCCAGCCCGGTCCTGAAGAGCATCTCCCACTCCTGGGAGTTCAATGGCTGCAGGGAGACCAAGGACAAGGTGAGGGGGGCAGTGAGGCTGCGGGGGAGCTGGGGAAGGGGCAGGGGGATGCTGACGCTGTGCCCCCATCACGGCAGGAGGGGTTTGTCTTCAAGAAGCCGCAGAGGCCAGACCAGCGCAGCCAGCTGCCCACCGGCAATGGGGCTGCACGGAGGGAGCCCTTCACCCGGAGACTCAGCTCTGTGCCTGCCCTGCTGGTGAGAGGGGCTGGGGAGCTCTGGGGGAGCACTGGAGGTGGGGGCGGTGGCGGCAATGGGCGGGGACCTGCTGCTCTATATTCCGCGTTTGCCCTGGAGACCCGTGGATGTGGGAACTGGGGGGGTGTGGGGACACTCTGTCTCTGAAGGGGGCTGGCCTGAGGCTGGCTCCACTGCTGAGCCGTGGGCCATGTCCTCCCCAGTTTGACACCCCTGAGAAGGAAAATGTCCCCGAGGGCGAGAGCCCTGTCAAACAAGGAGCACTGGTGCAGTATGAGGAGGAGGATGATGGCTTTATGGAGATCCTGGATGAGGAGGAGATGAAGGTAGGGATGGTTCCTCCACCTGCGGGGTTGGGTGGACCCATCCCTGCCCAGGGGGGTGGGAAGCAGCCAATGGGACTTATCTCCTTCACACTCTCCTCTGCCTCTCCCCCATCTCCCTCCCGCTGCTGTTGCAGCAGAGCGATACCAACATGCCGCAGGGGATGGAGAACCTGCTGACTGCGCCGCTGGTGAGGAAGAAGGAGGCAGAGCTGGTACGTCGGAGCCTTAGGGGGTGGATGGAGCCCCAGGCTCCTCCCTGGGGTCTCCGGGGGGGTCTGGGGTTGAGGGTCCCTGGTGAAGGGGCTGGTTGGTGAGCAGCCCCAGCCCCTGGGCATTGTGCAGCCACCAGACCGGGACCCTTGTCCCCTCGTGGTGGTGGGGGATGCCAGACCCCTGGGCAACAACACGGGCTCTCCGCCACACAGTGTGCCGCCAAGCGCAGCAAGTGCCGGCAGCTCTTCCGCTCGCCCTCGATGCCCAGCAGCGTCGTCAGGCCCATCCTGAAGCGGATAGACCGGCCCCTGGACCAGGACACCCCTGTCAAAACCAAGCGGCGGAGGAGCGGGGCTGGTACCCCTGGCGAGGAGGTGGTGGCGGAGCCGGTGAGTGGTGGGGAAGTCTTCAGGGTGAGGTGTCCTTGCTGTGGTCCAGCTCATCCCCGCCCTGGCTCTGCTGGGACTGCCGCTAACACCTTGGAGGTGCTTCTGGTTTGTCTCCACAGAAAGTGCGTCTGCAGCGCTCCAAGTCCTTCTGCCACGAGGACATCGAGAACCTGCTGGACAATGATGACCAGGACCTCATCGGGGACTTCTCCAAGGTGGGGCCACGGTGGTGCTGGAGGCCTGGGTGTGCTGTGCCAGGGCAGAAGCCCAAACCCTGCTGGCGGCCCAGGCTTGGGGGGAGGGGGGGAAGGGGCTTGGGAGGGTGAGAGGGCTTGGGGGCAGGACTGTCCAGCCTGCAGACCTCGTGGCACATGTAGAGTCTGATCAGTGCCCCTCTGCTGCCAGTGCCGTGCCACGGCCATGGCTTCCTTGGGGGAGCAGCCCTTGGGGTCGGGGGGAGTGGGTGACAGCCCCTGCCCTGGGAGATGGCCCTGGGATGGATCCTGACCCAGTACCCACCTCTCCTCCAGGCTTACCTCCTGCAGACGGTACAGGGCAAGCACCAGGACCTGAAGTACATTTCCCCGGAAATGGTAAGGGAGCAGCAGCCTCTCCTCGAACCCTGCCATGGGGCTGCCTGCCTGCCCCCCCCACCTACCACATCCCACTCCTCGGTGACGGGCTCCCCCCACAGATGGTGGCAGTGCTGACGGGGCAGTTCAGCAGCCTCATCGAGAGCTGCGTGATTGTGGACTGCAGGTACCCCTATGAGTACGAGGGAGGCCACATCAAGGTGAGCACTGTTGCTGTGCCCCTTGGGGCTTGGGGACAGGGTGGGGACCTCCTGCATGGTGGGGGAAACTCAAACCCATCAAACCTCAGAGGGGCTGAGCCCCTCCAAAGGTGCTGAGCCCCACTGGAAGGAGGAAGGGTGATGGTGCCCCAGTAGATGGGTTGATGCTGGTGGGGGAGGCTGGGGACAGCCTACTGAGGACCCCCAGATTAAATGGGAGGCAGCGGGGGATGAACGTGCCTCCTCTTCCTTCCCAGGGTGCCATCAACCTGCCGATGGAGCAGGATGTGGAGGAGTACCTGCTGAAGAAGCCCATCGTACCTTTCGATGCCAGCAAGAGGGTGATTGTCATCTTCCACTGCGAGTTCTCCTCTGAGAGAGGGCCCAGGATGTGAGTGGAGGGGTGTGGGTGGGCACTGGGGTTCACCGGACCCCTGGGCATGGCCAGATACTGGCTTGGTGACAATCCCTGTGACAGCCCCTTCTCATCACCTTCTGTCCCACAGGTGCCGGTTCGTCAGGGAGAAGGACCGAGCCTGTAATGAGTACCCCCACCTCCACTACCCCGAGCTCTACATTTTGAAGGGGGGGTACCGGGAGTTCTTCCCTCAGTACCAGGTGAGCCCCCGCCTTTGCCCTCTGTGTGGGCAGGGAGTCCCTGGCAAGAGAGCAAGGGTTGGGGATAGGGGGCGAAACACAGTCTTCCCTCCCCAAACTGCCCGCAGGGGGCAAGGAGGGGTCTAGCTCTGAGCATCCTCCATGAGGATGGCACCTGGAGGGGCAGGGGACCATGCTATGGCATCCTGAGGTTGCCGGCTTTGGCCGTGGGGGGGCTGGGGGCTGCACTGCGGGTGCTGATGGGGCCGTGGGTGCCCAGACACACTGTGAGCCCCAGGACTATCGCCCCATGCACCATGAGGACTTCAAGGAGGACCTGCGCAAGTTCCGCCTGAAGAGCCGCACCTGGGCGGGCGAGCGTAGCAAGAGAGAGCTCTACAGCCGCCTCAAGGACTTCTGATGGCTCTGGGGGACCCCTGCAGTCCCCCTGTCCACCCCTCCTGGGGCTGCCATCAGGCAATATCTCCCAGCCCAAAACCTGGCCGTCCCCAGCCCCCTCCTCTGCTGGGTGCCCTGCATGGCATCGCTGACCCCAGCAGCAGGGTGGGGGACAATGGTTGTGGTTTTGCCCCCAAGGCTTTTAGGGTTTTGCCCCAAATGCTGGCTGGGGGCTCTAGCGGGGGTGGGGGGTTGGAACGAAGTGGGAGCAGGGGAGGGTATGTCTGGGACCTCTTCATTCAGACCAGGCCCATAAGTCACTGCCAGGTTCAACCTTCCTCTGGGGTGGAGGGGTGAGGAGGGCAGAACTGTGGTGGGTGCCAGCTGCTACCCCCAGTTCTCCCCTCCCCTGCTGGGACTGGGGCTCAGGGGGTGTGGGGCAGACCCCCAGGCCCCTGCTCCAGCCCCTTCCCCTTGCACCCTGGGCCAGGGGAGGTTGTGCCAGCCCTGGGAAAGCCATGGGCCTGCAGCACTTCCCCTGCCAATCCCTGGGGAGTCACCTCGCTGGGCAGACCAGGCCCTCTTTGGGGCTGGGAGTCCCCCAGTAGGGCTGCAAGCCCCCAGTGGGGCTTAATGGCAGAACTATTGCAGAAAAGCACTTAAACCTTCTTTGCAGCTGGCAGGTGCTACTTCACCCCAGCCCTGGTCCTTCTCTGCTGGCAGGGGCAGAGAGGGGTAGGTGCCTGGGCTGGGGGTGGGCATCTTGTGGGTGCCCTTTGTTGTAATAGTCACTGACTGCCTGGGTTTGTTGGGGTTTTTGTTGTTGTTGTGTTTTTTCCCCCCCCCCCCCCGTCTTATTTAAGGTAGTTTATTATCTTCTTCTAAGCCAGCTGTGGTTAACTTCAGGGGGCAGGAGGGGTTTCACTCCCACCCTGGAGCTGGTCAGGAGTTGGGCTGTGGTGCCCATGGGTAAAGCACTGTGAGCTGGGAAGGGTGGGAAGCAGTTCCTGGGTGGGAGCTGCTGCTATCGGGCTGTATGTGTCTTGTTTGTTTTTGTGTCTTTTCTATGTTCCTGGTTAATAAACCCTTCAGGAGGGAGAACAAACCTGTAGCCCTCGCCTGTGACTGCGCTGCACAGCAAAGGGGGCTGTGGGGGGTGGGTGCCCTCTGATCTCCACCTGCCACTGCCCCCCCTGCCTGGCATAGCACTGGATCTGGCTGGGCTGGAGGGGTGCGGTGGCTTGGGGAGAGGGGAACAGCTGCTTCCAGGGGAGAGGGGATGGTGGGGCTGGAGGCTGCCCCTGGGGAAGGGTGGTTGGCTGGGGGCAAATGCTGACCTGTTTAAGGCTGTCCCTGTGCAGCGGGATGGCAGCAGAATGGCTCCAGCTGGGACAGGGGCTGGTCTGGACCCTGAGCAGGCAGCATGGTGGGGAGGGGGACAGCTCTGCCCTACTCCTGGCCACCCCACAGCCATGGTGGTGCCCGCAGGGCCGGGGGGGGACACAGGGGGCTGGGGGTTATGGCTGGGACCCCTGGGGTCATACACAGGGCAGGAGGAGGTATGGGGCTGGAGGGGTGCCTCAGGGTGCTCCTGCGTCCCCGGGCCCTCTACCCCACCCCCCGGGGCGATCCTGCGACCCCAGGCTCTGTTTCCTGTGCCACCACATCCCCCCTGCTACCCCTCCCAGCCCGCACTTCCTTCCTGGGCCCCGCCTACCAGCCCTGTCCGCC